GAGAGAACTTGTAGCAAAAGGAGGACATCTTCCAGAACATTATTAGATGTCCTAGGGTGTGCAACTCAGCCTGTTGTTTGGAGAGTATCAGATCCTTAAAGAGCGGAAATTTCGATCATCATCCTGTGACTGAATACAATGCCCTTCCACTGCAGGGTAGAAAGCAACCTAGCGCTGGGAAGAAGCTTGCTCTGGAACATCAGATCCCAACCACTGACAAGATGCCAGGCTAGAAGAATTACTGGTCTGGTAACGCAGCAGGATAATCTTCTATCTTCTGCACCCAGAAGTTGTTTGGTTTTTTTTAACCTATTAGCAGCAGATTCCCATACAGCTTGGCCAGAACAGTCTGGTCCTAAAGTCAGTTTTGTTTGCCTTGAAACATCTTGCTGTTTCTCATCCGTCAATAAATTCTCAAGAGTCCCGCTCCTTTTACAATTTATATGAATAGCAGAGGTTAGAAAAGTGCAGCACAGCCTGGAGAAGCCCACATGGCTTAGTCACAGAGGTATTTTGGTACCTCTGCATCTATATCCTCTTTGCTAGCCATGCCCACACACCTCCTCGAGCTCAGCATGCCACAGGGCACAGCCAGAAGCATCCAAGATGGGCTGCAGGTTGGCCACTCTCCTTGTCAGATTATGCTCACTGAGCAAGGGCATCTCCCAGCTCTCCAACATTTCCTCTTGGAATGGGCTCGTTCCAATATTCTGCCATACTACAAGCAAGTGTGAGGATGGCCCAAACTGCCAGGAAGTTCTGGCTCAGAAATGAATTCAAGCCTCAAGCTAAAAGGTAAGTCCTGCTGCACTTAAATACCTGGGAGGAAGGCAGCCCGTTTGCTTTTCTGCTACCGGTACTCCAAGACATGCATGAATACAACGCAGCACTATTTATTTCCACCATGATTTATAAAGAGTAGTGGAACTTTGTTTAAGAGTAACAACTCAAAGCCAAACCAAGCAACCACTGTCCCTCCCCACCATGGCAATATTTTGCCTGCAGAGAACTTCCTTGCTACACACTTAAATCCTCCAGCAAACAATACTTCTGACACCAAACCAATGTCACTGGTGGCATCCCACATGCTTGGGCTCTCCTCATGAGAGACCACAAACAATGAGTGGTTCGTGCCTGCTTTGCAACAGTTCTGGGTAAACAACGCTACCTCGGCAGAGGCAGGCCAGGCTGAACAGAAGGGAGCTGTGTTTCCAACCCAGGTGGATACAACGCTGTTGGGGACAGAATTTGTCAATAATAAACCAGAGTGAAATGTAAACAAATGCACACCCTAAAAGTTCATGAAACCCCAAACAAACATACCAAAGAGAGAAAGAAAGGAAGAACAAAATCCCTTTAGAAGCATTTTTACCCATTCACTGCCAGATAATTTTAAAGTGTTTGTACAGAATGAGCCCTCCATGCAAATTTAAATCACAGAATCACAGAATGGTAGGGGTTGGAAGGGACCTCTGTGGGCCATCTAGTCCAACCCTCCTGCCGAAGCAGGGTCACCTACAGCAGGCTGCCCAGGACCTTGTCCAGGCGGGGCTTGAATAACTCCCGAGAAAGCCTGGGCAGCCTGTTCCAGGGCTCCGTCACCCTCAGAGGGAAGAAGTTCTTCCTCATGTTCAGACGGAACTTCCACTGCTTCAGTTTGTGCCCATTGCCCCTTGTCCTGTCGCTGGGCACCACTGAAAAGACTCTGGCCTCATCCTCCTGACACCCACCCTTGAGATACTTATAACCATTTATAAAGTCCCCTCTCAGCCTTCTCTTCTTCAGGCTGAACAAGCCCAGCTCCCTCAGCCTTTCCTCGCTGGAGAGATGCTCCAGGCCGCTCATCATCCTCGTAGCCCTCTGCTGGACTCTCTCTTACGCAGTTTATGTCTCTTGTAACACTGTCCATAAACAAAATTAGACCGAATATAGAGAAGTTCTATACAAAAGGCATGCTAGCACTACACAGCCCTTTGGTCCCAGAAAAACCTTTCCTTGCAGATCTGTGTGTCATATGCAATAACTGTATTTGCTCATTGCAAACAAAACCACAGCCACTTTAAGTACAATCACACCCCTCTCATTCAGGCCGGCAATTTCCACTGCTCCCATTATGAATTTACCAGGGTGGTGGTGTATCTAGCAGCAGCCTCTGCATGGCATATACAAAATTACCTAACAACTTTTAAGAGTGAGATGCGAAATTTGCTATGTGTGTGTTACTGACCTCTATCCAGGGACCTTTCAACCCCGAATAGTGCCAACAAAAGCAGAATCAACATTTTTCATTAGCTTCAAAACCTTCTGACTGGCATCACAGGGGCTTTTTTGTGAATGAGACAAAGAGGACACATCAGTTTGCCAACCTCTCAAATTACTGCTCAGTCGATAATTTATTTCTGCGCATATCCACAGTTTCGCTCAAGTATTTGGAAAATGAAGTTTCTCAAGCATTAATATAAAAAAACAGTCTCACAGTTCTCCAACTCTATACTCACTCCAAAACATCAGTTGAACAAGGAAAAATGCACATACCGAGTTCTGCGTTGCAATAGGCCTGAGTAAGACACAAACACAGAAGCACACACATTTCAGCCTGTTCCTTTCAGTCCAGTTCTGAAAGACGCATTTTGGTTTTCACTAATCTTGATCTGCTGGAGGGCACCTACTCGCCTCCTTTGGCTGACTTTAAAGCAGTGGTACGATTTTGACCTCAACTAAAGCCAGTGAGGTTTTGGGGTGTGGTGTGTGTGTGTCCCCAAAATAGTCAGCATTTTTCAAAAGCTGCTCTGCACCTCAGAGCATCAGGTCTGCTCCAACGTGAAACGCAGCACTGCTGTAAAATAAATAAAACTCAACTGCTGGAGCATTCTGTGTTATCCGCACATGCAAATGAATGTGCTTAGCACTTCAGTGTGAACAACTTGGCCATTGATCTTACATGCTGGAAAACAGACAGCATTTCAGAGGAAGAAGAGAAGCTGCCTACCCTGCAAAACCACCAGGTGAGTTTTTATGGCTGTTTCCCATCGCTGCCCTTTTGTGAACCGGAGGATGTTTTTCCATTAATTCTGTTTATCAATTCTGAGAGGAGGTGGATGAATCTAAGCACAAGTCAGAGATTTTCTGTGATTTCTTTGTCTAGCATAGAGAACTATGCAACAGGGGCGATCAAGTGTCTATAATCACTTTATGTCCTATGTAGTTTGGAAATTAAAGCAACACCTATATTCCATCCTGCTTTGTGTTAGGCCTGTGGACACTCTGAAGTTACCAGTAAACGGTAGTAAATGGCAGTAAACAGCAACTTCCACATGAATATGACCAGATTTTAAACTGGGGGATGTTTTTTTTCTAGAAAAGATCCCAATTCCCATTTCAAGTCTATTATCCAAAGGGGTTACATGAACTTGTGCATGGGATCCCTTTCTGCAAAGATCTGACACAGTGTCAACTGATCTTGGTGGGTCTCATGGCAACTTCACAGAAGGAAATGGCCTTGGCTGTTCAGTTGCCACCACACACCAAGAGGCGCAATTCAAGGTCTCAGCACAAGCATAAAGCTTTCTTCTGGTCCTGTGGAAGCGACTGGTGGCTTTCCAACTCTATGGGAAAGTAGTGTCACTATTAGTGTTGTTTTACCTTTCAGGCTGTGTTCCACTTGTTTGTTTCTCAAGGTGAAACTCCAGAATGAGAGCCTTACCTTCTCCCTTTTTGACCTGTTAAAACATTGGCTTTTGGAGTCCGCCTATGGCAAATGCACTCCCCGCTTTTTGTGCTTTTCTGTCTCAGCGGCAGCCAAGTTCCAAGGTAAACTGCCTTTCTGAGAAAGTTGTTGCTGTTGTCCTAACAGCTGTGTCACATGAGGGGATGTTACTGAAAAGCCAGCCCCCAGTGTAGACTTCAGTGTTTCCTGGTCACTGTTACTTTTGAGAGAAAACAACAAACAGCACTAGCTTGATAATTCACTGGCAGAACTGCTGTTTTTTTATTTAGTGGAGGGCTTCCCGATCTCTCTTGCCTAGCCTACACTTCATATTCATTGAAGACCAGCTCAAATTCCATAAAGACATAACCAGTCAGAAGTCAAGAACATAAAAAAGCAACACAGACCAAAGATGATGGTCCACAGCCACATGTAAAGAGAAAGTTGCTTCTGATCTGATCATATTCTCATGTTTTCTTCTATGAATGAAGAAAGTTCGTCATTTCAGTGGAAAAAATGGATTATTCATTCCACAAATGTTGAACAGTAGAATTAAGGAAAAAAGTAGGAAGAAGGAATAGGAGTAGTTGCTGCAGATAAAGCTGCTGATCAGATCCTCAGAGGTGAGCACGGATGCTGCCTTGGGCACTGGCACAGTGTTTTTCAACTGCCACGGGTCAATCGGAAGTTGATGAAATGCTTTCTCTCCAGTCTCTGGTGGCCAAACACAGATCTCACTCCACACAAGATTGCTCCAGGCAGTGAGGCTCTGCACATATGGCGTACATTTTTCTTCCTAATGTAGAACCTTTGAACACAGATATTTCGCAACTCATCCACAAAGGCATAAGTTTAAAAAAGCAAGTGGCAGGCCAGTTCAGCAAGCAATATGTAAACAAGACAGTTGCTTGGTCAGACTTCTGTCTTGAGCCGTACATGCCACCTCCAAAGGCCACTTACTCTGACACAGAAGGCAGAGTGCAAGAGTTTCTTCTCAAGTGGCAATGTCACTTTATAGTAAACTATCAGAGACACTGGGACTATACCCATCTCCCATATCAGTCCCGGGCCGCTGCCGAGACCCTGAATTAACAAGGCCCTTGTCCTAGCCAGCTTCAGAGATGACAACAGACGCATCCCATCAGATAATTCCTGAATCACCATGCAAGGCACACGCTGTGCAATGTCAATAACCTCCCTCTCTTCTCAGCAGGTTGCCAGTAAAGCTCATTACAGGAAGCTGGCTCTGTCCTTCCACAACGTGACAGGTGATTCTCGAGGAAAGGAACTGTTCTCACTTCCTGTAGGACTGGCTGCCTGCAGAAAAACAGCAAGAAAGAGTCTGTCAGCTGAAAGCAGGATTTATTACAAGACAAGAGCTGCCTGAGGGCAACACTTGTTCAACCTGTGCAGTGACACAAACACCACAAAGAACATGCACAAAGGCACCTAAACCACTGACGCTGCAACTTAAAAATACAGAATGTATTTATGGCAACCACTTGTCAGCGGACAGTGAAAGAACTTGTGGAGGAGCAGGGAGTCACCAGGGTCCAGTCACACTCTGACAAAAAATAATTCCTCATTCTTCTGGCAGAGGTTTTTGTATTGCTCTAGCTCCACTGTGCCCTAGACACAACTTGGTATACTGTGAATACCTTAAGCATGCCCTTGCAGAGGAGCTTGGAACAGATGCAGAGTAATGAACAGGATAGATTAAACCATTTAACCATGTCCACACGGAGCACATACGTACAATTCAAAAAATCTAGATTTGGAGGTCCACCCTACGTTCCAGCCATGCTGCCAGAGTCATCCCAGTACCAGCTAGGAAGTGGAATCCACAGAAAATCCCGGCATGGCTGGTTTTATCTGGAGGAGCTCGGTTTTGCTTTAAGGTACAGCTTCATTGTTCAGCTACCAGCAGCGGGGCTACAACTCAGGCAGGAATCTGGCCCCAGGCCTGTCGCTGCACTAAGTACCTGTGCTTCCTCTGCATTCCTCAGGCATTCCACACACTCCATGCTGCAAGAGCAGCCCAGCTAGTTCAGCTAGGTTTATGTAAAAGCAACTGTTTTCCAGAAAATACACCTGTAATAAGTATTAAAAGCAAGCTAAAAATACGTCTCTAAAATAAGTGAGCGCATCAAGTAAGTACCATCAGAAACTCTTTTTTCTCTCATCATGCCCATCAGCTTTAGAAACTTGTATTTCTCCAGAAATATCAATAAATCCACAAACTAAAGACAGTATTCCACTGGGACAGAGCCTCTTGATATGTAAAAACCTACATACGTATTCGGCAGGCAAATGGCAGGCAAATGGGAGGCCAAAACTGCTGAAATGTACTGATTGCAGATATCTGTGCATCTGATACCATTTTTGACTTACAGATAGGTCAGATGATAGTAAATTCAAGAAACAGTAGCACAGAGCTTTACTAGGGAAACATCAGGGGCTCACCTGCTTCAGATGCCTCCTTGCACCTTTAGTTAACAGCCAGGAATTTAACCACCTTTGAGAACCTCAGGTTTGGACATAGGTGCTTAAAGCCCTTTTTAGTCCTTTAAAAACCTGGTCCTTAACACCTTCCTCTCACTCTTCCCAACCATAAAAACCTGTGTGAAAGGCCCTGTAAGATGGACAATAACTAACGGGTTCTCTGACAGCAGACAACAGCGCAGGGTACATAGAGACAGAGTGAATGGAAGATGACTTGTTTGCAAAATAATTTCTTTGCTATTTTTAGCAAGAAGATAGGAGTTTAACATTCAGTTGCTGACACCAAGTCTGTCTCATGGCACATGTGGACAGACAGAAAACAACTACCCAAAACCCCAATAGAAAACTCGGGAGAAAAGGTAAATGGACACACAGTAAGATGTGCTGCCCGCTATTCATTCAGCTTTAGGATGCACAGACACGGCAAAGATAAAAGGTATAAGATGAATTCTATGCAATAGAAGTTAGAAGAGCCCAAGAGTGTGGAATTACAAATTACATATACTGAATCAACAGAGAAGCCCAAGTGATGCACAACTCTGATCATGCTCTGCTTTAATGCAATTTCAAAATAAAATAAGATTATACATCATGCCACTGGAAAAGGAACTTACTCCAGAGCCCTATGAGAGCAATTTACGTATGTCACATCTTTCATAGGACACACGCACCCAGAAGCATAAAGCTGCCCTGAAGAAACTGGAACATGGAGAGGAGTTGTTGTGTGCACACGCACACTATGCTTTTTCCCTCTTCAGGAGAGCTCCTCCTTTCAACGCGCTAGTGCTTTTGTACATGAATCGAAACAGGAACCAGGGACAGGCTCTGGGTGTTAACAGCACATTCAGTCAGGGCAGAGCAGTGCTCCTATCACAGGAAACAGAAAGCACTGATGTCAGAGGTGAAACACGGGGCATATGCAGCAAAAGTAAAGCTGAAAGAGCTGCCAGCGCTATCACCTAAGCACAGGACTGGTCAAGCAAGTACTCTCTCCAGGTCAAAACCTCCCTTAACCATCAAGGACATTCCCCTCCCTCCATTGCCTCACCTGTGCTCTCTGAATGAAACCACCCCACCTCCCTGCACATGCAACGGTGTGGAACAACAGTTAGTGAGCAACACAGAAGACTCAGGAAGCTCTTTCCAGCTCTGTTGCTGATTCACTAGGTTATTTCAATTCTCTGCGTTTCATTTTCCCTACCTGTAATGAGGACCTAATAATATACAGATACCTCAAATTTCTTGGGAAGATTTGCAAAGTATTATGAGTAACCATGTTTCTGTGAAATGTTTAAAGATAACAGTTACAGCTAAAGAGTGGAGCTGATGTTACATTGTGAACAATCATCACTAAACTTCTTATGATACATTTGGAGTAAGAATACACAGCACATTGCTCCTGCCATTTTCATTGATAATGGACCCAGAGCTGTATTTGAGTCCAGCTAGTCCTATCCATTCTCCAGAGAAAAAGCTTACTCATTAATGAAGAGTGCCTCTTTCTCCCCCCCTAAAAAACCCCCAGAGCTTAGACACCATACACGTCTACTGCTGTGTGAGCATCCAAGATCAACATTTCCACTTTATCGGGCTTGTGTTGGCCAGCTTATAGCAAGAGTCCATCCTTTCCCTCCAACCTCAAGTCATAGCCCTCCTCTCTTCTGAGCCCACTGCAAACTAGTACTGCTTACATTTCTTCAGGCAACGACATGTCTATTTGTTTCTTAAATACGAGTCTCCAGCAGCATGATGACTGCCACAAGCAGCACACCAGGCTTGGCTGCCCTGAGCCCATCTTCTGAACTGCCTGACATCTGGTCTACATTCAGTTGCACTGTAGACACACCCAGGGATCCAAATTCAAGAACATTAAGCAAGTTACACAGCAGAGTGAACAAGTGTCTAAAGAAAAGGAAAAAGTCTAGAGAAAGTCTAATCTGAGGCTAGAAGCTTCCCCGCAAACGTCTGCGAATTTGGGTCACTTTTCTCCACCCAGAGACAGGAAAATTACATGGCTGTACATCCTGGAGATGACAAGTACAATGTCATATACTCCTGGCACATTTGTAGCATACGACTTCATTCCTGGAGAGCTACTACAGTGCTCCCTCCTCTCCCACCCCAAGGACTGACAAATAGGAATGATGACTTTTTCCACTTACTCTGTCTGCTCCTGGTGGATGATCCCGAGGAGCTGGGACGGCTTGCTTGTTGGGGTCCAGACTGAGAGAACTGGGGGGCAATGGCTGGGATCTTTCCCTTTCTAGGGCTGGCACACTGCTCTTCAGGAGTGCGAGGGATCTTAGGTTTGCTGGTGAAGGCTGAGGGAAACTCGCTGTAGGAGGAGATGGAAAGGGTTAGCAATGCATGGAGAAATATGTATGCATAGTAAGTCTGCAACCAAGTGAAACCTGCAGTACATGCTGTGACAGCATAAGAAACTGCTCAGAATTCAGGGAGACTGCAAATGGAAAGGAACGTGGCACCACAGGTACTGCCCTGGGGCATGTACTACCTGCACAGGCTCTAAACCTGGCTCTATCGACCTGTCTACCCTACTCAGACCTGATTCTTTGGAGAACAGGATGGAACAGGTTCAGTTAAGTCCCCTGCAAACAAGCAATAGATCTTTAGTTTGTTTTCCATTGTATTTATTACACACACAGACTAAATCTGAGGTGCAAACCCCCCATACATTTATGCTACAGCACAGGAATACATCCTTTTAGGGCACAGACACTATTATCTCTCCCAGGTATAGGTCACTATCTTGGCAGACACGGGCAGCCTCCCTGGCTCCCAGCTCTGATGAGATTTGTAGAACTCCCTGCAGGCTTTGTCAAAAGAGCAAAAATACTGTGATGGCATCTATGAAATCAGTTCCCTAAGCACACAGGTTCCTTGCTCACACTGAGAATGTACAATAGCTGCTCCTATTGCAGTCTGTGTGTGCTGCAAGAATACTATTCTTTAAAATTTAGGCCATGACTGTGTGAGGATACGCTGTCCTTCCCTGACCCCAGCACCAATATATTCTTTCCCAGTACAAAAATGGAGGCTACTAAGAAATAGGGAGTCTTTAAATAATTATGAAGCTATATTCATGTTTGCTCTAGTGAGTCAACTTTCTCTTAGAAGCAGAAAAAGTTGAACTGAAATAACAGCTACGTGAAAAAGCTCATCATACTTACAAGAAAATAAAAGCAGAGCCAAAGGCAGGAGATCGAAAAAGGTGCCATCTAAAGACTGGCGATTAAAATGGAAAGTTCTTGTGTTATTAGCTCCATGAAAAGAACCCTTTGTGACGATCAGAAAGGGTGATTAGGAGGATTTTCAAGACACTTAATCTGCCCTCCTCCCCTGGGAATGCTGCTGAGTCAGTGCTGATTAGCCCTTCCATGCCCCTGCTCCACCTTGCAGGGAGATACGAGCAAGTGTTTCTTTTGTATTTTAAGTAGCATCAATTGTCTGTATTTTGCATATGTATATACTAACTATTAAGGACAGAGACATGATAGTCGGTATGCTAAGAGCCATCTCTGCGGCCCTCTGAGCATTACAAGTATTACACTTGTCTCATTTCAAGAGAGGAGGTGGCAGATGGCAGCAAAAACATACTAGCAGAACAAAACCAAAAAAGCAAGATTGGTTAGATAAAACCCCAAACCGTGGATCGCAGACATACTGAAATCTCTCTCTATAAAAGTTTCATTGTTATTGCTCGGTTTACTTACTTTGGTTCAAGAACTGGATTTTCAATTCACTAGTGCTCTTTCATGGTAACCTTATGTGGACTACGATATAATAACATGGATAAAAAAGCAAGATCCAACAGCTTCACAGCAGTTTTTGAGCTTCTTATTCAGCAATAGACAACAAAACCCTGGGTCTGTACTCCTACACACTAAGAAGAGTTTTTATAGCCATGAACAGCCAGGTTGGATGGGGCTTTGAGCACCCGGGTCTGGTGGAAGCGGACCCTGCCCATGGCAGGGTATTGGAACAAGATGATCTGTAAGGTCCCTTCCAACTCAAACCATTCTGTCATTCTTCAGAGTTTCGCTGCAGTAACCAAGGGCAGCTAGATCAGAAGCACTTTGGAGACAAAGCAAAGTAATGCAACCAGAGTCACTATACTTCACCAAAGAGAGAGAATGCACAATGTTCACACAGGACGGGTCACATCTTTGCAAACTCTCCGGGAAGGGATTATACAAAATAAGGTGCAGCAAGCACTGTAAAGTTAAAAAAAAAAAAAAAAAAAGAAAAATCTGCTGTTTTTCTGACAGGATGCAGAGCAGATCTCAGCCTCTATATGCCCAGGTGTCATTGAACCACCTCATCTTTTACTATATCAATAAATAGGCCAAGATCAACAGAAAAAATCCTCAGAATAAGACAGAAAATGGCTATTTAGCATCCTTTAGAACCTGATGAGATTTAGAAAGAAGCAGCAAAATCTACTGCGGAAAAATGTTCCATAGTATTTGGTAAAGGAGTAATTTACAACAAGGTGTGGTAATTTGAGAGCAAGTGCTTGAACAAAAAAACCCCCACAACCAAACACAAAAACAAACCCACAACAAACAAGAAGAAAGAAAACTGTTTATTTGGAAAAATTGAAATAATTGTCTATAAAACAGTGCACAACAGAGTGACACTGGGATCAGAGTAATCAACCAGGAGATGTGAAAGGACGTGAACATACAAAGATGAGTTAGACCATTTTCTCCAAGAGAAATACACTTGGACTTATGGCCATTTTTACCAGATAATCAGAAAAGCAAGATCATTAGAGAGCTAAGAAGGCCCTGCAGAGTTTAAACTCTATTATGATGATACTGGACACAGTCACAATAGAAAAATAAGGGCTTTTTTAGCCAGCTACAGTTGTAAACATTGTCTATTACAAATGTATCCCTGATTAGCTAAAAGTCACAACGGATCTATATTCTCACACAATCAAAATGCAGCAGGGAATAGCAACGCAGGGGCAGCTGCCAGTCTGACATGCATCAGCTAGAACAATTATTTGTTCCTGTGGAAATAAAACAACTGCAATAGACATGTCACTACTAGGGCCTCATTCTTCTCTCCGACTGATTTAGTGTAATTTCACTGATCTGTGTGCAGTTAAATTCCCAGTTTATACTGCTAAGGAAGAGGGGAAATAGCAGTGACCCCTTCACCACCACGACTCATCCCTCCTTTTCTCATACATACCTCTTATAGGAAGGTCTTGGTATTTACTTAGTAGGAATGAGACATCTCTTCCAGTGGTCAAAACTATGACCAAAGCAGTGATTTAATTGCTGTGTTTGCTTTGCACACAAAGTATGCTTCCAAGAACGAAAGAATGAAAAGGCAGGTCTAGCTATTGCAACACCAACATATTAACAAAAGACCCTTGGTGTAGGAAACCTTGTGTTCACTTGGACTGTGAATGGCTACATTCCCATATCCGTAACTTGAGGCTGCATTTGTAAATACAAATTACTGTACGCATGCCAAGGAAGCACGCAATGAAAAGATATTACCTTCTTCTGAAGGATACTGCACCTGTGCCTTCACTTAGAGCTCCATCTACTACTGAGATTTAGACATACATTTATGAAGAAAAAGCAGAGAATACTGGGGACACGTCTTTTTAATCATAGATTACAACTGCAGAGAAGCAAAGTCTCTCACCAAGGTGGGGAGCAAGATGCTGTCAGTTTATGACTTCTTGCAAGCCAAAGCCTGAAAAATAATCTCTCCATCACAAGGCAAGCAATTTGGCCATAAAATGGTCATGGTCTATTTGTGTTTGTAGTATGTGCTTAGCTACTGTTAGGACAGGCAATAGAAATTAAATCAGTAATGCTGGGATAGGGATATGACTACCAAGAACTTCAGCTGCTAACCAGTGATAATTTGTTGACAATATGTGATTTCTCAGATCTCACCATGGAAACAGTACAACTGTACAACCACACCAAATCCCCCCAAACCACACACAGGCATCTGTAGGCCAGAAGGAAACAAAGCTCGATGCAGAAAATCCAGTTTTCAGAAGGGCTAGAGCTTTAACTGACACAAATAACTAAGCACTTCTGAAAAACCAGATCCATAAAGACTTGGTAAAACCTTTCCTTTAACACATGTCCACCCATTCTGTGTTCTACTTCTGGAATGTACTCGCTTTTAAAATTTCTCTACACTCACTGTTTAAAACTTGGCCCAATCAAATTAGCTATAGGAAAAAGCTGTTAATGTCTGCAGGACACATGCAGGCCCTGAAAAACTACGGTAAACCTTCATCCAATTGCTAATGAATTCCTAGTTCTCATCCAAGATATAACATCACAGTCCTACATATGACAAAGGCTTCACAGAAGGCTCAAGGTATGAACAGGAGAAGGACAGCACGATCTTTCATCTTCTTTCGACAGAAATTGTTTCAAGGAAGAGCTGAAACCCATTGCTGGGAGAACTTATAATAGTGCCTCCCTTGCTATACCTAGTGGATAAATCAGGGACTCTGGTCAGCAGTGCTAGCAACTCAGCATGTTTAAACACTCTGAATCCACTTAAATGCTTAATTTTTCTTCCTTCTGCAAGTTAATTCCTGCCCTGTTCCTATAGTCCTACCTATTTCTTTACTAATAAATGATTTTTCACGGGTTAGAGTTGAGTCATCTAAGGAAGCAATCAGGAAGTTTTATCTGCAGAAGACTGCATTATGCATACATGTGAAGTTCATTAATAACGTCTTGCTTGAGACTTCTCCCATTCTGGACCAGATGCTTAGAAACTAAACAGCTGCCTCTGGCACAGCTAAGGGTATTTTTTTTGGCAAGCACCACCTTAGCTGTCTCAGACCAGACTACATCATACATCAAATGACTTTACAGATTGTCTTTACAGCAGCATGGAATTAGCTGGTAAGTCCCCTCAGACTCCTCTTGCACTTTCAGATACTCATCTGGATAAATCATACCTATGAGATTGCACATTTACTTTGTCCTGGGTGAAGTCAGTAGATCGCGAAGACGAGATATTGTCACCAGCTGGGATGCTTCGGTCCCTTCTATGGCCTGATGAGAATACTGTAGATGACTTCATTTCAACTGCTATTTAAAAAGAAACACAGATCAGTGAGGAGTTGTCTCTCTACAACTTCACTAGAAACACAATCAAGTAACAGTTCCTGCTGTACAAAGGAAACCCTGAGATAATGGCAGGCTACTGAGTTAGTGTGGCAGAGTGCATTACAGCTCATCAGCTGACCCAAGCCAACTGCAAGTGTCCACACTTCCAGCCCTTTGCTGCTGGAAAGTAAAACATGCTTGGATCATTTTCAAAGCAGCTACACTCTGCATTTGCAGTGGGCTAGGAGCATGCAGACCATGAGTTAACATGTATCAGCTAACGACTGATATCTCATTAAAGCCACAGGAATGCAACCACTTGCAGTTGTCTGTACGTATCCATGGTAACAGGCAGCCACTGTGGACAAAAAAGTGTTTTACATTTCTGTCAGACTTCAGGTCTTCCATTTGTTCAATATACCTCAGTTTCTGCCTTGCACTAATGGAGAAGGGAAGGACAGTCAGTTGGCTGACAGACACAGAGCTACCAAGATGTGCAAGTTCAAGAACTGTTTAGGGAAAATCCCCAGCTCCGCTCCTCCCATGCTCGGGACAAGCTGCCGTCCTGATTTACTCTCACATGCTGATATGGATGCAGATCAGGTCACACTCAGACAAGCATTTGGCTGCCCAGCACGTTCTGTCTGACATTCAGCACAAAATATGTGTAGTAAGATGACTAGGGTTCATCTTTAGTCCACAAGTTTTCTGCCCACAGGAGAAAAAAAAAGAAAAAAGAGACAGAATTATTGATTCTTTACCAAATTGATAAACAGGGAGGATGGACCCAGACAAAATCAGACCGACTCAAGAACAGCCGAATGAATCTGGTCATGCAGGACATTAAGAACTGATCTAATTTTCAGAACACAAAAGAGGATCACAGAATCACAGAATAGTAGGGGTTGGAAGGGACCTCTGTGGGTCATCTAGTCCAACCCCCCT